GTGTGCAAATAAAAAAATTTCATCCCTGGGATGAGTGACTACGCCTCTGAGGGAGTGACACCATTAAGTGCCGCACCGGGTGTCACCCGACCTCGCTACGCCACTGCTAATAATTATTAGTTATAATTATATCCCTACTCCATAGGTCCAGTGGCGTAGCGAGGTCGGGTGTCACCCGGTGCGGCACTTAATGGTGTCACCCCCCCCCCCCCCCCCCCCAGAGGCATAGAGACCCTTCCCAGGGACAAACTTTCAAATTTTCGATTTGCACCCCTCCCTCAAACTTTCGATTTGCACCACCCCCTCGAGTTTTCGATTTGCACCCCCCCCCTCGAGTTTTCGATCTGCACCCCCCCCCCCCTCAAACTTTCGATTAGCACCCCCCCCCCTCGAGTTTTTCTCTATATATTTTGCTATTTTTTGCCTTGGTGTCACCCCCCTAAATGGTGTCACCCGGTGCGGTCCGCACCACCCGCCCCCCCCCCTCGCTACGCCCCTGCATAGGTCTACTAGATATAGTTTCCTGTTTTAGCCCCATCTTGAATTTTTGGTTAGTTGAGTTTGTGACCAAACAGCTTGACACCAACAGATTATCTCTAATTGGGGGGGGGGGGGGGGATTGTAACGGCAAAAATACATTTTAAAGTCCACTCTAGCAAATAGACCAAAAAACTTGCCATCAATTTTTAAAACACATCATCGCAAATTTCAAAAAGCTTCACTATTGGGATGGGATGATCAAATGATTCAGCATACTCAACTCTTTCTACGGCTGTTGAAATCTTAGAATAGCTGTTATGTTAGTTCAAAACCTCATTTCATTCAATTAAGATTATTTTCTACTGAATAAAAATAGAATACATTTAAAGTAGCCCGATATGAATATAATACAACAAAATAAAACTCGCAGTTTACATCAAAGAAAATTTATTGACCTCATGAAACAACAACACACTTAACAGAAAATAAACTACTAAAATAAATCACATTTTAATATTTTTTATAAATGCAGTTGCAACAAATATAATTCTATAGTAAATTACAACAGCAAAGTTCCAATACCTAATAATGCTTTAATTAAGAATTTTTTTATCTATATTCTATTGATAATAAATATGAATAAATAGGCCTATGGGAAAATTCTGATTATTTGGCTTAGTTCTTGTACTAAACTCAATATTGGTATTAGAAATTTGGTTGGCTACGTAAATTAGAAACAAAAAGAAGCAGCCTCACAGTATTCTAACATCACAATACAAATAATAAAATTAAAATCCATGCGCCACAAATAATTTTTATAAAAGTGAAATTAGTCAAACTAGCTAACTATAAATAAGACAAATGAGAATAAATTAGAAAATCAGAAAAATTGAATAAAATGTAACAACAAAATGTATAAACGAGGGAATAAAAACTAGCAACTATGCAGCAAAGTAAGGCAGAAATAAAATAAAACATCAGCCACATTAGAAAAAATGATGACCAAAAAAAACGAAGGAAAAAATGCTTTAACAAAAAATGCACACAAAAAAGCGCAAGGAATTTAAAAAAAAAACCCTGTAATTTAACAATTTTATGAAAGGATTTTTCCACAATAACGGTTCTATGATCAAATAAAACAGTATAAGTAGTTTGTATTTGCTCAATTTTCTGTTGCTTGGAACTAAAATATATTCAACAAATGACCAACCAAGAATGAAATTAATGTATCTAAAAACTCCCAGTAAAAATATAAGTTTTGTAAATGTAAAAATATTGAAGTGACTTGAGACAAAATAATTTAACATACTAAACAGAAACAAAAATTTCAAAAGCACTCATTAAATAAATAGTCAAATAAAATCAAATACACAAATTCTAGAACTATTATTTAAAAATAAAATTATAAACTGTATTCCAGTGGCATTACAAGGTTGGGTGTGGATTGGTGGAGCAACTGAGGGTGCCATCCCACCCCCCCACGCCACCAACAATGTTGCTTTTTTTTTTTTTGGATTGATATCACCCTTGTATATGACTTTTTTTTTATTACTCTAAAAAAAGATAAAAATTGTTTTGATACAATATGTTTGATTTTTTAATTTAGTTTCACCCTCTAGATGGTGACGCCAGGTTTCGGAACCCACCCCCTGCCCACGCCTTGTGACGCCACTGCTTTATTCTAGAGCTACATAACATAAGTTATGAAAAGTAAAGTGTTGTCATTAGCTTCACAATTGTAACTATTCTTTTGACTCAAAATTATGCATTTATAAACTGTAATAAAAATAGAAAAGCCAGAATTATTTTTTTTTACCAAGATTTAACATTGCTGAATAAAAGAAGGAATTGCTGGAATAATTGAATTTAATTATTGCTGCTGCCATTTAAGTTTGTGTTAATTATATTAAAAATTGCTTTTCCATTTTGAATGGGCAATAATATAGTAAAAATGCATTCATTACCTTTATTATATAATTTAAAAAAATCAGTTATAAAAAAAATGTTTTGTTCTTACATTAAAAAAACTAAATAGAGGAAATCATACCAAGGTTAAATTAAAGTGATTCAAATCAGTATCACACTGGCACACAATCAAACAGTTTAAAAACTGCACCAGTAAAATCCATTGATACAGCTAATAAAGAATCTGATTTACATAGACCACCATAAAACCCCCCCCCCCCCCCCCCCCCCCCCCCCTCCACAGTACCAACAGAAAGGTGCCAATACTCTCAGACAGCATGTCTTAAAACTTTATTCAAAGTTGTAAAATGGAAATATTTTGATAACGACAAAAAAAACCCAACAATATTGCATTAAAAATGTTCAAATTTCCCGCACACAAAAATGATGTGCTTTCATTGTACTAAAGATGTACAGAAAATATTGCCTTTTAAAACCCCAATAGAGCTCTTATATACATCACATAAATTATGAATGTAAAATTCAGAAAGGAATGTTTTACTTTTACTAATGCTATTGTGAATCATTGCTGACACAGTGAGTACAACAAACAATGGCAAAATGTAAACCATATTTAAAAAATGCAATATTGCAAAATGCAAGGCCCATTAATTTTCATAACCCTAAAGTACTTTTTGGGTTAAACACCCCTGTTCATCGCTAGATCTGCCTATTATGATGTATATGTGATAGAGATAGACATACATGTGAGACAGATAGACATACATGTGACAGAGATAAATGTGGACAAATGGCAAGAATATTCTAGAATTCAACAATTAATTTTATGCAATACTTTGGCAACACTATTAAAAGTGAACACAATACTTGTACGAATGAGAAATTCAATGGACCACACAGGTATAACAAAAATATTTTTTGTAGAGTTTTGCATAGGAAAAATTTGATTTTACTATGCACGTTTGAAAGACAATTTACCTGTCACTTACAAGTGTATTAGGTTTTATTGATCAAGTGAGGCAGTAATGCATGCTCAACTCTTTCAAATTATTGAGAAGCCGAGAAAACTATCATAAAAAGATAGGGTTTTTGTAAATTGATAAGTATTTTCTGTTGTTAAATTAGCAATATTGTTACATTAGAGGCAATGAGGTAGACTTGGTGGACCACATGACATCCTATCTACTTGATCTAACCTCATGTAAGTGTTACCAATACAACATTTGATAAGACCACTAAAATATTGAATACATTTATGATTGCTTTTTATTTTCAACACATCCTGTCAAAATACCAAAACAATAATCTTTTGCTTGTAATATTTGTATAATCACAGTTTGAAAGATTAAAAAAAATTTAAGGCGAACATACATAATACATTGTTATAATGTGAATTGGTCCTGATATAAGTCCCTGGATTGTCCATCGTTAAACTAGCACTTCAGCAAGGTACTACATTACACAGGGAGGGGAAGATAATCTGGTACAATACTCAACAGGGAGGGGAAGATAATCTGGTACAATACTCAACAGGGAGGGGAAGATAATCTGGTACAATACTCAACAGGGAGGGGAAGATAATCTGGTACAATACTCAACAGGGAGGGTGCAATATCCAGAGACTCTACCCAGTATAGGGAGATAACTGGTATTTAAGTTACAGACAATAAAGGTAGCTGGGGATATACAGAGCTAATCAAATGTACAACAAATGGAAGTATAATAAAACAACCAAGTGCTAGATACAATACAGGCAGGGGAAGATAACTCTACCCAAACACAGGATGGAGTTAACAACCAAGAAGAAGTGTGTAAATATTAGCACATGGCTTGGTAAAGTTCACCACTCCATAACTAAAGAATGAGAAAAGTGTAAGAATGACAGTTGAAATTTAAAGCTTTAAGAGATACCAGCTTCATGTGATATTGAAAAAAAAAATTGTTAGAAAAGAGCAACAGCCCTGAATAATCAATGGTGTAAAACTTTGTCAAATATTTTAAAAGTATTGAATTAAAAAAAATATATACCACAGTAAAATCAACCCAACAGGTATAAAACCAACCCAACAGGTATAAAACCAACCCAACAGGTATAAAACCAACCCAACAGGTATAAAACCAACCCAACAGGTATAAAACCAACCCAACAGGTATAAAATCAATCCAACAGGTATAAAATCAACCCAACAGGTATAAAACCAACCCAACAGGTATAAAACCAACCCAACAGGTATAAAACCAACCCAACAGGTATAAAACCAACCAAACAGGTATAAAATCAACCCAACAGGTATAAAACCAACCCAACAGGTATAAAACCAACCCAACAGGTATAAAACCAACCCAACAGGTATAAAACCAACCCAACAGGTATAAAATCAACCCAACAGGTATAAAACCAACCCAACAGGTATAAAACCAACCAAACAGGTATAAAACCAACCCAACAGGTATAAAACCAACCCAACAGGTATAAAACCAACCCAACAGGTATAAAACCAACCCAACAGGTATAAAATCAACCCAACAGGTATAAAACCAACCAAACAGGTATAAAACCAACCAAACAGGTATAAAACCAACCAAACAGGTATAAAACCAACCCAACAGGTATAAAACCAACAAGCCTTTCTGTATATCCTGTACAGTTGGAATGTATTAGCTTTTGTATCTTATGATTAGAGATGGGTTAAACAGTTTCACCGAGCATCACAGCTAGATCAATTAGTTAAATAATACAGTTGTGTTATGGGCTAAAATAGTATAATACAGTTCTGTTATAGGCTATAATAATATAACGCAGTTGTTTTATAGGCTATAATAATATAATATAACAATTTTAGCCAAAGTGATTGTTTGTGCTCTTGTTTAAAAAAAATTTCAACAGCACACACAGGTAGTTTACTATACCTAATTCCAGGTGATGTATCCTATTTATATCTGTAACAGTCAACACACATCAATCGCACACAACTTTAAAAAAATAATATTCATGTATAAAATTATAACATCATGTGCAGTGAACACATTATATCTGACACTAGTAGCCCTTTGTTGTAGATATACTGATTTCAAAGCGACTACACTAAAAATGATCTTCAAGTACTACTAAAAATGATTAAGTTATCATTAAAAAATTATAATTTTTTTAAACAAGACAAGTCTAATAATTTAAAACCTTGTTTAAAAAACATGTTACAAAATGCATTTTCATTTGTTCAAGACTAGTTGTGCTTAATTCAATTTTGATAGTCATCTCTCTAATGTTCCTGGCTCCTCGTCCTGATCCGTCATAAACTATGTCATACAATATGTCATACACTATGTCATACAATATGTCATACACTATGTCATACAATATGCAGAAATATTTATTCTACTAGAGGTTTTATGTACTAATTAGCAACATATATGATCTTTATACTTTTTCTATAGTCTATCACAGCCACGGCTCGTATCTTTTTCCAAAAGTTAGTGTGGGTGGTTAGAATAAGTCAGTCTATCTTTCCCAAATGCTAGAGTATGTGGTTAGAATAAGGCAGTCAATCTATCTTTTCTGAGAAGGTTGTGATTCACTATGAAATTTTTTAATTCTGTTGATATTTTGCCATCCTGAAGTCTAGATATTATTAAACACCTGAAGTCTAAAGTTACGATAAGTCTAGTTTATATCCTCAGGTCATGACAACCCTGTATTTACTATAAACATAAGGTCTCTATTACTCCAAAGTTACCATGAGCCTAAATTTGCCGTACAGCTATTTACTATAAGTCTATGGTCACCATAACCTGCTATGTAGATACCTTGTGCAAGGCCTTATAGACTCAGAGACAAGAACTACACAACAGCTGCACCGACATATTCAAACGCAAAACTTCATGTGTTGAGAGATAATTAATTTATCCTTCTCTAAACCCTAGCCATATTAGAAATTCAACTGTCATCTGGTTTCAATTGGGTTAATCTTAGCTGTAAACCATGCGGTGGTAATCAATAACTGTAGGAGAATGTTTACCTTAAGGTTAGGGTAAACCATGTCAGTCAAACTTTAAATACCTGCAGGCCTACACAAATAACACTGTTAAAATACCTATGTATAATGCTATGTTAGGGTACCTATAAATAAAGCTGACCTAGAGTTGAGTGAATCCCCCTCCCCCCACACAACCTTCTGGTTTAACCTAAGTTAGGCTGGTTCTGGAAGAATATGTCTGGTCCTCTTTTAAATTCCTCAAATATTAAAATCTGAGGAAAGAAAAACAAAAAATACATTTTTAAATAATAGCTTATTAACATGACTGGAGGTTGAAGGAAACATAAGATATTTTATTGTTAAATTATGAACAAAGTGATTTTAAAGATCTGATAAAAGAAAAAACAAAATTGAGATTTTTAAACTCAAATATTAAAATCTGATGAAAAAAAAAAAAAATTTATAAATTTAATGAAAAAACAAAAAACAATGTAGTCTTCTAAGTAATTAAAATATCATTTGTTTACCCAGTCATAAATGTGTTGGAACATAAACAGAACATGAACCAAAATTTGAACCAAAATCTACAAAAATGAAGGAAATCTGTCCCAGTGGACTTGACTGGTCTAGTGGTGTTACCATTGTGTATGACAGCAGGCACATACAGGTTACTGTGTTACGATTGTGTATGACAGCAGGCACATAGAGGTTGCTGTGTTACGATTGTGTATGACAGCAGACACATAGAGGTTGCTGTGTTAACATTGTGTATGACAGCAGGCACATAGAGGTTGCTGTGTTACCATTGTGTATGACAGCAGGCACATAGAGGTTGCTGTGTTACCATTGTGTATGACAGCAGACACATAGAGGTTGCTGTGTTAACATTGTGTATGACAGCAGGCACATAGAGGTTGCTGTGTTACCATTGTGTATGACAGCAGACACATAGAGGTTGCTGTGTTAACATTGTGTATGACAGCAGACACATAGAGGTTGCTGTGTTAACATTGTGTATGACAGCAGGCACATAGAGGTTGCTGTGTTACCATTGTGTATGACAGCAGGCACAACAGGTTACTGTGTTACCATTGTGTTTGACAGCAGGCACATAGAGGTTGCTGTGTTACCATTGTGTATGACAGCAGGCACATAGAGGTTGCTGTGTTACCATTGTGTATGACAGCAGACACATAGAGGTTGCTGTGTTAACATTGTGTATGACAGCAGGCACATAGAGGTTACTGTGTTACCATTGTGTATGACAGCAGGCACATAGAGGTTACTGTGTTACCATTGTGTATGACAGCAGGCACATAGAGGTTACTGTGTTACAATTGTGTATGACAGCAGGCACATAGAGGTTACTGTGTTACAATTGTGTATGACAGCAGGCACATAGAGGTTACTGTGTTACAATTGTGTATGACAGCAGGCACATAGAGGTTGCTGTGTTACCATTGTGTATGACAGCAGGCACATAGAGGTTACTGTGTTACAATTGTGTATGACAGCAGGCACATAGAGGTTACTGTGTTACAATTGTGTATGACAGCAGGCACATAGAGGTTGCTGTGTTACCATTGTGTATGACAGCAGGCACATAGAGGTTACTGTGTTACAATTGTGTATGACAGCAGGCACATAGAGGTTACTGTGTTACAATTGTGTATGACAGCAGGCACATAGAGGTTACTGTGTTACAATTGTGTATGACAGCAGGCACATAGAGGTTGCTGTGTTACCATTGTGTATGACCTGTGTAGCTTACCTCATTTCTCCCATACTTGAGGATGGGAGCAGGCACATAGAGTGTTTTCTGTGGTCCAATGCACCAGTATCTGCCCAGGTTAAAATTGTTGACAATGACAACACCTTTGACCCAGCCCTTCAAGCATGAAACAAAAACAGAAAAGTCATTTATTTTCTCCTTTTTCATCATTATTACATAAAAGCATATTACTTTAATTTTTAAAAAAATACATTAGAGTTGCATTACTAAAAACAATTACACACTTAACATATGTATAATAGCATGGTAAATAGTACTTGATATAGGAAATTCTAATTATTTCTTTCAAGATTAATTAAGCATCCAATTAAGTCAAATTTTATGTCACATTTCATTGTCACCAGATCTGACCCACATGCCTATTTTGAAAAAAATTGATGAATTTGAAGTAAGTGGTCGAAAACTCTCTAGGCGTTTCAACCCATGATGTTGAGTAACACCCCTTGTCTAAATGGTGCAGGGGAAAAGTCCATTAATTGTATTTATTTAACGTGAGAGATTAAATTAAAAAATTCAACTAACAACTGATTAAATAAGGAAATGATGTAAAAATAATTTCATGTGAATTACATCTAGGTTTAGGAAAGTGTCCATGGGTACATTGTTGATGTGCAGGTAGGCCCGGTACAGCGCAGGCGCCAGTTTGTCTGTCTCATCTAGATCTTTCTTCAACTTGTCCACCTCCTCGACCTTTCTCCATGTCAGGGAGCTTGACAGTCTGTTGAGGTACAACACAACTGGTTAAACTCAAAACTACAACGTTAGGGTTTAGGTAAAGACCAGCAACTGTCTTAAAGATCAAACTATAATGTTAGGGTTTAGGTAAAGACCAACAACTGTCTTAAAGATAAAACTATAATGTTAGGGTTTAGGTAAAGACCATCAACTGTCTTTAAGATAAAACCATAATGTTAGGGTTTAGGTAAAGACCAGCAACTGTCTTAAAGATAAAACCATAATGTTAGGGTTTAGGTAAAGACCAACAACTGTCTTAAAGATAAAACCATAATGTTAGGGTTTAGGTAAAGACCAACAACTGTCTTAAAGATAAAACCATAATGTTAGGGTTTAGGTAAAGACCAGCAACTGTCTTAAAGATAAAACCATAATGTTAGGGTTTAGGTAAAGACCATCAACTGTCTTTAAGATAAAACCATAATGTTAGGGTTTAGGTAAAGACCAGCAACTGTCTTAAAGATAAAACCATAATGTTAGGGTTTAGGTAAAGACCATCAACTGTCTTTAAGATAAAACCATAATGTTAGGGTTTAGGTAAAGACCAGCAACTGTCTTAAAGATAAAACCATAATGTTAGGGTTTAGGTAAAGACCAGCAACTGTCTTAAAGATAAAACCATAATGTTAGGGTTTAGGTAAAGACCAGCAACTGTCTTAAAGATAAAACCATAATGTTAGGGTTTAGGTAAAGACCAACAACTGTCTTAAAGATAAAACCATAATGTTAGGGTTTAGGTAAAGACCAGCAACTGTCTTAAAAATAAAACATAATACAATACGTACATATAGCTTTGTTCAGGGCTGAAGTTGATCATACGTATGTTCCATTCTTCCAGGATGCCAAAAATGTAGCGGAACACTGGACCCCTGAGACCTGTAATTGTTGGGATTACAGGACATTATAACAGGACATTATAACAGGACATTATAGCAGGGCATTATAACAGGGCATTATAGCAGGACAATATAACAGGACATTATAACAGGACATTATGACAGGACATTATATCAGGACATTATAACAGGACATTATAACAAAACAACATTATAACAGGTGTCAGTCAATCACAGCATAAAGGTGAGAGGTCATTGATAGTCAGATACCAGATAGGAAACTAACATTATCTATCCTAATTAGGTGATTCATCTTACAATATCGTATAGTGAATATTTAATCTTTGCTTAAATTCTAGAAATTATTTTGTCTAATGTGAATAAATTAATTCATCAATAGTTTTTAGAAATACTTGAATTTAACTTCGAACTTTTAATAAATTCATGTATTAGGCATAAGACATTCATTAACATTTTAACCCTCAGAAAGCATTTCAACCCTGAAGTTTTATTTAGTGATCTTTTAATCTAAGAAAGTAGTAATTTACATTTCAACATTTAGATATTGATTAAATTTTAACCATCAGCTTTCATCCTTCCAAAACGTCACTGATAATTTAAAATAGTCAACAGACACAACCTTACATACAGAAACATTCACTTTTTGTTGATGATTAAAATGTACAGCAGACACAACCTTACATACGGAAACCTTCACCTTTTTGTTGATTAAAATGGTCAACAGACACAACCTTACATACAGAAACATTCACTTTTTGTTGATGATTAAAATGTACAGCAGACACAACCTTACATACAGAAACCTTCACCTTTTTGTTGATGATTAAAATGGTCAGCTGACTGCGGAGAAAAGTTGACTCGACCCAAGTTTTCAACCATCAAGTCCAGGCGCTTGGAAATTTTCTGTTCTTTCAGCTTTAACTTCCTGGTTATGTTCTGGCAAGGGAGGTCACAAAACACAATTTACAGCATGACTATTTCAAAACACAATTTACAGCATGACTATTTCAAAACACAATTTACAGCATGACTATTTCAAAACACAATTTACAGCATGACTATTTCAAAACACAATTTACAGCATGACTATTTCAAAACACAATTTACAGCATGACTATTTCAAAACACAATTTACAGCATGACTATTTCAAAACACAATTTACAGCATGACTATTTCAAAACACAATTTACAGCATGACTATTTCAAAACACAATTTACAGCATGACTATTTCAAAACACAATTTACAGCATGACTATTTCAAAACACAATTTACAGCATGACTATTTCAAAACACAATTTACAGCATGACTATTCCAAAACACAATTTACAGCATGACTATTTCAAAACACGAATCACTTAAAATACAATCACTGATAGTCCTCTATGTTAAATCAAAATCTTTATAATAAAAATAATTATTATTGGATATAGGTACAACTTTGAAAAGAGAACCACAACCAAGGGAGTTAAGTCAGTACATCCAATTCCATTTATCCTGAGAATGTTTTCAGTAATGTAATCACATGACCATGTTACTTGACATGCTGCATTAAACATGCATAACCATTGACTACTGTTGTAAGTAGATTAGACCACTGAATCTATACTAGCCATATGACAATATTTTATAAAGATTTCATTAATGGTATATTATATACAACAGCTTTTAATTATTGTTGATTAATGATTTTAATCAGATTTGTAAACTTTTATTGTCCTGGAAATCTGTTCAGTTTTTAAAATTCTGATAGACTAAGTCAATCATTTTGAGGTTTTTAAATGAACTTAAGTATATTTTGTTTTTATTAATTTCTTGTAAAAATACAAGCATTATTTATTCTATGTAGCTAAAGCTTGTATAGTAATTACTATGATAAAATAATAGACAAAACCAATACAAACTAGAACCATGTAAAAATGTTGAAGATTAAACATCCGAATTAAGATTTTAAATTAAAAAATAAAAGAACTTAAATATTCAAAACAAAACCTTCATTCTTTCTAGCATAGGCAAGAGCCAATGAGCCTTTAGGAAAATATCTTCGTAATCTTTCTTATAGTCATACATGTATTGGTAGTGATCTGGCTGTGGAGATTTGACACCAGAGATTTGGTTACACAGAGAATACAGGCACAAGCTAGGGTACAGGTGACTAAACAGTTGTCTCAACATACAGGCACAAGCTAGGGTACAGGTGACTAAACAGTTGTCTCAAAACAATTGCACAAGCTAGGGTACAAGTGACTAAACAGTTGTCTCAAAATACAGGCACAAGCTAGGGTACAGGTGACTAAACAGTTGTCTCAACATACAGGCACAAGCTAGGGTACAGGTGACTAAACAGTTGTCTCAACATACAGACACAAGCTAAGGTACAGGTGACTAAACAGTTGTCTCAAAATACAGGCACAAGCTAGGGTAGAGGTGACTAAACAGTTGTCTCAAAATACAGGCACAAGCTAGGGTAGAGGTGACTAAACAGTTGTCTCTACAGACACAAGCTAGGGTACAGGTGACTAAACTGTTGTCTCAAAATACAGGCACAAGCTAGGGTAGAGGTGACTAAACAGTTGTCTCAAAATACAGGCACAAGCTAGGGTACAGGTGACTAAACAGTTGTCTCAAAATACAGGCACAAGCTAGGGTAGAGGTGACTAAACAGTTGTCTCAAAATACAGGCACAAGCTAGGGTAGAGGTGACTAAACAGTTGTCTCAAAATACAGGCACAAGCTAGGGTACAGGTGACTAAACAGTTGTCTCAAAATACAGGCACAAGCTAGGGTAGAGGTGACTAAACAGTTGTCTCAAAATACAGGCACAAGCTAGGGTAGAGGTGACTAAACAGTTATCTCAAAATACAGCCACAAGCTAGGGTACAGGTGACTAAAACAGTTGTCTCAAGCAGCACACCTTTTATTTTACTTATGGGGAAATAATGACTAATGACAACTTTGTAGTTTTACTATTTCAATGCAATTAATACATATATATATATATATATATATATATATATATATATATATATATATATATATATGTATACTGCTGATTTCTGTTAATATCTTGCCATTTGAAATGACAGTTCTCCCAATGTATGACAAAAGCCAGCCCAACACTAGTTGTTTTGTGGAGTAAGAACTGTTTTCCCACAAAAAGTTTGATCAGACACCCAACAGTCTAGCTAAGGTATGAAACAACCGTTGCTCCACGAAAAAGTTTAATCAGACACCTGACGGTCTAGCTGAACTGGCACAACAAGGAACATACCTGAAATTTCTCATCCCAGTTGTATGACAAAAGCTGGTCTTCATTGTCAGTCTGTAAGTCATCTTGTACATAAAAGGTTTCACCATTCAAAATTGCCTGAAAAACAGCAGTAAAAAACATTAAACTATTCGAAGACCACTAAGTTAATTAACCTGTCTTTGGTTACAGTCATCCCACCCTTGAAGACCCCAGTGTTACTTACAGTCAGTCTGTATTTGAAGACCCCCATGCTACATACAGTCAGCCAGTCCCTTATGAACCCCCCTGCTACTTACAGTAAGCCTATCCTTAAAGACCCCCGTGGTCTGTATCCCAGGCATCTTGTTCCAGTGTGTGTTGTCCCCCAGCTGATGTGAGTACACGATGTACCCTAGTGTGTTGTACTTGTTGTCTGCGTCTGTGTACGTCTCCATGTAGTTTACCTTGTCGTCATTGGCAAATATCTGAAACAGGAAGTACTCACATCGTAAGAGTAGATTTTGGCTTTCATAAAATCACAAGATTTTCTAAACAGAGTATCTCAAAGAGAAAACTTTACATAAATTTTACATAAAATTTGTCTACCACAGCAGTGTGAATAAAAAAAAGCCCTCAAATTCTAATTAGTTCACTTACTTACACCCACTCCATAATTACCATACCTCCACCTTACACCACAGGTTAATGAATCAACTTACAGGTATCAAGGTGATAAAAACATTCTAATCAGTTCACCTACTTACACCCACTCCATAATTACCATGCCTCCACCTTACACCACAGGTTAATGAATCAACTTACAGGTATCAAGGTGATGAAAACATCCCATTCCATTACTTCAGTAACTGGGACTTTGCCTGTAAATTAAATTACATTAATAAACACTGAACTCATCATCTTTATTATGCTAACAGCATAATGTTCTTTCATTTTACAAAAAGACATCCTTCTAATACTTTGTTATTCATTTGATGAGTAAATCATATTTATCTCATTAGATTCCTTTCCAGGACGAGCATTTAGTTTACACATTTCCAAAAAACAAAATAAAATACTGCTATTTAAAAAAAAAAATTTAAAAAATTAAAAAAAAAAAAAACTGACCATAATGACCTTTCTTTGTATTGAATGGCACAGAAGGCAGACTGTCATAACCTATCAACAGAAACAAATTAAGTAGGCTATTTAGTTCCAAGTGTTCCATTCATTAGGGCAAACTAAAAAACAACTAAATTTTATTTTAAATAGAAAAAATCTTTAGGCCTAGAACAAAATAAAAAAAAAGTTAGGCATTTAGATTTTATAAAGTTAGATTATAAATTTTATTTTATAAAAAAAAATAATTACCTAATGTTTTGTAAAATGTATGCAAGATGCTTCTCACAACATGGTATTTTGGAGTTATGTCACCCGCTTCAGTCAGAATAGCATCATAATCTATTGGAGAAATAAAAGTATGAAGCATTGTGCATGAAATTATTGAACAAATTATTCTTGATTCATCATTATTTTCCTTAAGTGTCCAAGACACACAGGGCAGATAAAGTAGAGTTTATCTGTTTCAATGACTCCGGAATACAAAGTGATAGTGTACTCAGCACAATGCCCAGCCATCGTTGTTTAGCTGGGTGGACTCAGGGACATCCTACAGACTCTAGCCCAGGTTCTGAACATGAGGCTTTTAGGGTAAGTAGTTGTAAGCTCTACCCTCCAACAGCGCAATTCCCACTTTGATCAAAAACGGCACATGAATATGTGCACAAGGGAATTTTTTTTTTTTTTTAGAAATTGAGCATTTACAGACATTACTAAAGATAGATCACACACATTTAGCATAATAAACTATTTTTCCATAGAATATTAAACTTTTTTATTTGCGCATTGTTTTTGTTTGCACATTTTCTTGGGAACCCTTCCCCACACATTATTCTTGGTCATAAAAAAATTATAAGTACAAAAATTAGTAGTTGGAAATAAAAAAAAAGATCACAGGTACAGGTGTAATGACACAGTTGAAGTAAGCTCTTGAACTCACCGTAACTTGTGACCATTGGCCTGTATGAGGTGAAGTTGTTGGCACCACTAGTAAAACCAAAGTTGGTGCCACCAATGAACATGTACAGGTGTAACAACACAGGTGAAGTAAGTTCTTGAACTCACCGTAACTTGTGACCATTGGCCTGTATGAGGTGAAGTTGTTGGCGCCACTAGTAAAACCAAAGTTGGTGCCACCAATGAACATGTACAGGTTGAATGAACCTTCCAGGTGCATGATAGCATTCAATGTCTCACGCAAGCCTAGACAGGAAATATACATTTTAAAGTTAAACGGGAAAAAAGTTGTGTATAAAACCAATACAACTTTCAGGACCGGACCATTGATTCACCCTACCATTCTATCACCCATTCGCCCTACCATTATGCCACAAACTTTCCTTATCATTGTACCAACAACTCATCCTCCCACTGTACCACCAACTCACCCTCCCACTGTACCACCAACTCATCCTCCCACTGTACCACACTCCTACTGTACCACCAACTCATCCTCCCACTGTACCACCCTCCCACTGTACCACCAACTCACCCTCCCACTGTACCACCAACTCATCCTCCCACTGTACCACACTCCTACTGTACCACCAACTCATCCTCCCACTGTACCACCCTCCCACTGTACCACCAACTCACCCTCCCACTGTACCACCAACTCATCCTCCCACTGTACCACACTCCTACTGTACCACCAACTCATCCTCCCACTGTACCACCCTCCCACTGTACCACCAACTCACCCTCCCACTGTACCACCAACTCACCCTCCCACTGTACCACCAACTCACCCTCCCACTGTACCACCAACTCACCCTCCCACTGTACCACCAACTCACCCTCCCACTGTACCACCAACTCACCCTCCCACTGTACCACCAACTCACCCTCCCACTGTACCACCAACTCACCCTCCCACTGTACCACCAACTCACCCTCCCACTGTACCACCAACTCACCCTCCCACTGTACCACCAACTCACCCTCCCACTGTACCACCCTCCCACTGTACCACCAACTCATCCTCTCACTGTACCACCAACTCACCCTCCCACTGTACCCTCTACTCACCCTCCACACTGCTCTTTGAATGCTTCTCCTGACCCCAGTAGTCAAACCATCCTGACCAGAGCTCCATGACCATATAAGGGAAATGTGGGTTCAACTCAGATATGACATTGTAGCTGCTCTCCTTTATGCTGCCTAAGTTGTCAGCCAATAGAGCATCTGTCAAAGAACAACCAACATGTAATGTAATGCAACTGAACAAAAAAACAGGTAATATAATGCAAGAGAATAAAAAAACGTAATGTAATGCAACTGAATAAAAAAACAACAACAAATGTTCATGAAGAGTATTGATTATCATCAATAAGAGATGTATTTACCATATTTGCATAGGGTTGCCCATGAATAAAAAAATGTGTACTCCTTCCGTGTATGATGTTAAATGTTATTAACCCCTCTATAAAAAACCTGAGTAACTTTAACATCCCCTCGTCTAACTACAGGTGGACTGGCATGCATGTCTACCAGAAAAAAACCTGGGAGTCCCGGGGAATAGTCCTGTAATAGGCCTATTAGTGTTTTGATTTTTTAAAAGGATTATTAGCGCAAAATACAAAAAGTCCACCCCTACCCCAACAAAAGGTCATAAACATGCTCAGTACATGACCAAAGTGTGATGAAGGTACTACAGTCAGTCCACCCCTACCCCAACAAAAGGTCATAAACCTGTTGAGTACATGAGCAAAGTGTGATGAAGGTACTACAGTCAGTCCACCCCTACCCCAACAAAAGGTCATAAACATGCTCAGTACATGACCAAAGTGTGATGAATGTACAACTGGTATACTCACACTGACTAAAGTCGACATATTTGTTTTCTGCATATTTCTGTTTGAACATGTGATCACTGGTAACCAGAAGCTCTTTGACATTCAGTTTTTTCATCATCTGTAAACATACCAGACTCAGGTTAGACAACTCTTACATTACATACTAGCCAGCTGTAGGTTAGACAACTCCTACAGTACAACAGTACACTCAGGTTAGACAACTCTTACATTACACACTAGACTCAGGTTAGACAACTCTTACTTAACAACACTGACTCAGGTTAGACAACTCTTGCATTACAACAATAGACTCAGGTTAGACAACTCTTGCATTACAACAATAGACTCAGGTTAGACAACTCTTACATTACAACACTAGTCAGCCTCAGGCTAGACAACTCTTACACTACAATGTCATGCCCATTCTTTTTAAGAGGTCCATGGTCTATCATGCACACATTATGTCTAACTTTTTCAGACAGTCCATGGCCTAGCATGTTGATGTAATGTGTAACTATTTTAACAAGCTTTCTGAGACAGATGAAAAAGCCTTCACACCCACACATTATGGGGCTTAATCATCATATTTTTTTTATAAACCTATAGCCACTCTTTGCCCCATATACTTAAAGCAAAAAAAAAATTCCCAATTTGCCCCACCTCAATCAGATGCCCCAAGCATCCCATTAAAAAAAAACTTATATCTACCCCCTCCCCCTCCACTAGAGTCACTTACATACACCAGCAGCTTCAAGTGGTCAACATCCCCAGTGTAGGAAGAAAATTCATTCTCCACTTGAAACATGATTATAGGTCCCCCTTCAGTAAACTGGACAAAGGAAATGACCAACTATCAGTACAAACAATTTTTTTTTTAAACTATTCAAATTGACATTATGGTGATAAAAAGTTGGCTTGTAATCTATTTTAAGTAACCAAAGTTTAATAATAAAACATTAGAGTAATGAAAAGAAAAATTTATAAATTTATAATTTAAATGATACAATAAAATTTGTAAAGTCATGAACCAGACAAAGGGAACTTAAAACAATCTACTCATGAACCAGAGGGAACAAGACAGGGAACTTAAAACCACCTACTTGTAAGTCATGAACAAGACATAGGGAACTTAAAACCACCTACTTGTAAGTCATGAACAAGTGGGAACAAGACACAGGGAACTTAAAACCACCTACTTGTAAGTCATGAACAAGACACAGGGAACTTAAAACCACCTACTTGTAAGTCATGAACAAGACACAGGGAACTTAAAACCACCTACTTGTAAGTCATGAACAAGACACAGGGAACTTAAAACCACCTACTTGTAAGTCATGAACCAGTGGGAACAAGACACAGGGAACTTAAAAACACCTACTTGTAAGTCATGAACAAGACATAGGGAACTTAAAACCACCTACTTGTAAGTCATGAACAAGACACAGGGAACTTAAAACCACCTACTTGTAAGTCATGAACCAGTGGGAACAAGACACAGGGAACTTAAAAACACCTACTTGTAAGTCATGAACCAGTGGGAACAAGACACTGGGAACTTAAAACCACCTACTTGCAAGTCATGAACCAGTGGGAACAAGACACAGGGAACTTAAAACCACCTACTTGTAAGTCATGAACAAGACACAGGGAACTTAAAACCACCTACTTGTAAGTCATGAACCAGTGGGAACAAGACACAGGGAACTTAAAACCACCTACTTGTAAGTCATGAACCAGTGGGAACAAGACACAGGGAACTTAAAACCACCTACTTGTAAGTCATGAACCAGTGGGAACAAGACACAGGGAACTTAAAACCACCTACTTGTAAGTCATGAACCAGTGGGAACAAGACACTGGGAACTTAAAACCACCTACTTGTAAGTCATGAACAAGACATAGGGAACTTAAAACCACCTACTTGTAAGTCATGAACCAGTGGGAACTTAAAACCACCTACTTGTAAGTCATGACCCAGAGGGAACAAGACACAGGGAACTTAAAACCACCTACTTGTAAGTCATGAACCAGTGGGAACTTAAAACCACCTACTTGTAAGTCATGAACCAGAGGGAACAAGACACAGGGAACTTAAAACCACCTACTTGTAAGTCATGAACCAGTGGGAACTTAAAACCACCTACTTGTAAGTCATGACCCAGAGGGAACAAGACACAGGGAACTTAAAACCACCTACTTGTAAGTCATGAACCAGTGGGAACTTAAAACCACCTACTTGTAAGTCATGAACCAGTGGGAACAAGACACAGGGAACTTAAAACCACCTACTTGTAAGTCATGAACCAGTGGGAACAAGACACAGGGAACTTAAAACCACCTACTTGTAAGTCATGAACCAGAGGGAACAAGACACAGGGAACTTAAAACCACCTACTTGTAAGTCATGAACCAGTGGGAACTTAAAACCACCTACTTGTAAGTCATGAACCAGAGGGAACAAGACACAGGGAACTTAAAACCACCTACTTGTAAGTCATGAACCAGTGGGAACAAGACACAGGGAACTTAAAACCACCTACTTGTAAGTCATGAACCAGTGGGAACAAGACACAGGGAACTTAAAACCACCTACTTGTAAGTCATGAACCAGTGGGAACAAGACACTGGGAACTTAAAACCACCTACTTGTAAGTCATGAACCAGAGGGAACAAGACACAGGGAACTTAAAACCACCTACTTGTAAGTCATGAACCAGTGGGAACTTAAAACCACCTACTTGTAAGTCATGACCCAGAGGGAACAAGACACAGGGAACTTAAAACCACCTACTTGTAAGTCATGAACCAGTGGGAACTTAAAACCACCTACTTGTAAGTCATGAACCAGTGGGAACAAGACACAGGGAACTTAAAACCACCTACTTGTAAGTCATGAACCAGTGGGAACAAGACACAGGGAACTTAAAACCACCTACTTGTAAGTCATGAACCAGAGGGAACAAGACACAGGGAACTTAAAACCACCTACTTGTAAGTCATGAACCAGTGGGAACTTAAAACCACCTACTTGTAAGTCATGAACCAGAGGGAACAAGACACAGGGAACTTAAAACCACCTACTTGTAAGTCATGAACCAGTGGGAACAAGACACTGAAGTACTTGTTCACAGCGGAGATGTAACCGGGGTAGTTGCTCCGGACTTTCATGTCTGGGTCTCTAAGCAACCATCTGGAGACATAAACAGTCAATCAAAGCAGCGTGTACAAAAATAATTATTTACAGTAACAAACGAGGTCAGCAAGTACAATAAAATATAATTAACTAGCTGATTCCAAACAGTCTACAAGTAAGAAAAAAAACATGATTTCATTGAAAACAAACTGTCACAATGCTTTCAACTGTAATTAACTAGTTGCTAATTAAGGATTTAAAATGTATAAAACTGATTTGATGTGATGAAATGTTAGGTAAGAAAACTACTAAATGCTGACTCCTGCATGCAAGAAGAGATGAAAAAACAGATGAACAAGGTGGTATATTTAAAAATTTTCAAAACACATAAAATGAATATAAAATAGTATACAGCCAGAGCTCAACTGTTATGAAGAAGCACCTTAATGAGCATAATACACATGTAAAGTAAAGTTTCCCTTTCAGACCTGACGGTCTATGAGGCAAGTGAAGAAGAGTTCACTTGTTTCTGTGACCTCGGCATATGAAGAGATAGTGTGGTCAGCACTATGCCTAGCCACCTTTACTCTCCCTAACGTGAGTTAGGTACCCATCACAGTTGGGTGGACTCAGGGACGTTCTCTACTGACCCGGATTCGAACTCGAGACTTACGGATTAGCAGTCCAGCTCTCTGCCGCTATACCACTCCGTCCCATACAATACACATGTTGTGGAGGCAAATGGGATTTCAGTTCATCCTTTCACCTACCTGCTCTTACAGGAGTGGTATGACACTGTTTTCTTTTGCTACATTGTTTCTCTCCCGGATGGGCTTATAAGCATAAGTGTAAATATTTTCTTATTGGTTTTAGTATTTCCATAAGTAAGAATCAATAGTCTAAACATCTGATTATGCTACGGTTTTATTAGCATTTTTGGAGATGCACGAATAGCTTATTAAGATATTCAAACAAACTATTTTAAATTAGATTCTGAGATATATTGATTATATATTGTTTGCGATAAGTGTTGTGTATAGTTTGGTTTCGCTGCATTGTGGTTGGGATGACTTGTGTATAGTTTGGTCTAGAATAGTTTTGCTTAGTGTAGTTGTGGTTTGGGATGACTGTTGTGTATAGTTTGGTCTAGAATAGTTTGGTTTAGCGGCGTTGTGGTTTGGGATGACTGTTGTGTATAGTTTGGTCTAGAATAGTTTAGTTTGCTGCGTTGTGGTTTGCGATGACTGTTGTGTATAGTTTGGTCTAGAATAGTTTGGTTTATTGGCGTTGTGGTTTGGGATGACTGTTGTGTATAGTTTGGTCTAGAATAGTTTGGTTTAGTGGCGTTGTGGTTTGGGATGACTGTTGTGTATAGTTTGGTCTAGAATAGTTTGGTTTAACGTAGTTGTAACTCACCCTGGTAGTCCACCAAAATCAAACTCAGCACAAATGTAAGGCCCTGGACGAAGTATAACAAACAGGCCAAGAGTAGAGGCTAATGACAGAAAAGATCTGAAATTTAAAACAAAATTATAAAAGAACCATTTTTTCTTGTTTAATTTTATTTATTTAAAATAATCAGCTTAAACTTTTTATCAAATTTTTTTTTAACTGAAAAAGTAGCATAAAATAGTTCATAGGTTTATCTAAAATCAAGATTCGCTATAAACTTAGTAATTTACTTTAAATTAAGATTTCCATTACATTCTTAACAGAGATTTTCCTTAAATTTAGATTCTCATTAAACTCATAAGGGGTTAAAAAATGACATCCTGCTTTTTTTGACATCACAAGAACACACAATCTATGGAAGACCCTTCCCCCCCCCCCCCCTAACAGAAATTTACCTCAAATCAAGATTGTCCTCAAAATTAAATTCTCCAGGTGAGGGCTCGTGAAGGTTCCAAGGTACATAACTAAAACAAGGAATGCAAGACAAAATTAGGGTTACAATACAAATTAACATGCTCTAGCTAACCCAAAAGTCTCAAGTTCAGATCCAGGGGGTTCATGTCCATAGGACGTCCCTGAGTCTACCCAGCTCAGATGGTTACCTGACTCTAGTCAGGGAAAATAAAGGCAGTGGGGAATATTGCTGACCACACTGTAACTCCAAGTTCAGAGGTCTCTAAAAACTCAACCTGCCTTGTGGATCTTAAGGTTCGAAAGGGTACTTTTTTTACAACAAAAAACGTACCAATAGTTTCTACAGTCCTACAATCTCTCGGCATTTTTATAAATACTAAACAATTTACAGTGCTTATACAAATAAGCAGTACAAAAAAAAAACGTTAAAGAAAATCTTATATCTCAACAGGGTTCAGACCATATGCCACAACACACATTAAAATAGCATAAAGAACATCATACGTCTCAACTGTATTCAAACCACAGGCCTTCAGCTTCATCAAGCGATCCTCCCATTGATCCCTCAGTATCCTAAAGTAGTGAACAGCACCACTGAATATCCTAAACGGCCTGTTGTTGAGGTAAAACTTTTTCTGGTAAAACGTCAAGCCCTTCACGTCAGTCACGTCATCATACGTACTGTTCATTACCATGTCACTATCTATTGCTTGAATTTCTACAGATTTATAATCATCTGGCAGTATAACTGTCCCATTAAGGAGGTTTTTAACTGCTACTGGATTGATCGCTTTCCTAGCAAACTGCAGACTTTCATCATTTGGAAAAAATTTCTGTGGGGAAAGAGGGTTGGGGGCGACTTCTTTAAAATCCCATTTGAACTGAATATCCGTCCTTTTTGTGTCTTCAACTTCAAAGAACACTACAAACCAAACTATCCATATCACAACAGCAACAAACACAACAGCTAACATGCGTAGTATTGTCTTTTTACGCATGATCTGTTTAATTTTGGCTAGCATTGAAATTCTCCCTTATTATATTAAGGCCAAGCTGATGACCAATACTTCGGTGCATAAACTGCTAAAATCCATGCAATGACACCGATAAGAAATGAATTTATAGGACCAAGTTGAATGCACTGTTTGAATAGTGCACTATGGTTCAACAGTTTGTTCCTATCAACAAAGCGGCTCTAGGTCTTCTTGTAGTTTGAAGTAGAGGTGATAAGTAGAACTGGCTTGTTAAAGGCCTATGTGGAGTAGCTCAAAACTGTTCCCAATGAATCCAAGAAATCTGAAATGTAAAATGAAACAAAACTAATATTTTGTATTACTATTATATTATGTCAGGATTTATACAAAAACAGAAAGTCCATTGACATTCACACGAACAGAATTTTCTTTGACGAAATTTTACTGACTTTCCCTTAAAACGGAATTTTCACTGACATTATCTAAAAATGCTAGAATCTATAACATTTGTAACAATGATAAAAATCGATTTTTCGCTACACTAAACTTGCTACACTAAACTTTTTTCCAGTGAGCTAGATCTAGTGAAGAATTTTTTCTTAATTTTAGTGTTGGAAGGGATTCCCTCCAAAGTATAGTATATAGACTTATAGACTCTACGTGTCAACTGTTATGCACCTTTTACTGCATTAAGCCCTTAGGCAGCTGACTCCAATTTCAGACTGCTTTTCTTTTTGGATTTTAGCCAAATAATAATTCAGGAACTAGATCTAGATTAGATCTAATCTAGATCTAGATTATTACTAGAGGAGTTTACACTTTTCGGACACACACCAAAAATTACGTAGGACCGAACACTTCGTCGGTTTTTGGCTCATAGAAACTTTAATTAGCATGTCTCACGCGAAACCACGGCGCCTGCACCTAAACTGTTCATTTATGAACACTTCCGTGTCAAGTACTTCCGTTTCCTTTCTCAAGAATCATTTTTAGAAATTTTTTAACGTTGCATGGTACGCACATTTCTATTTTTACACCAGCCGGATGAAGTGACCTAGGGTTGGACTTAGGGGCAAAACTTGAACCAATCAATGCTTAGCTAAAAGGTTACACTATAAATAGCTTCTATATATGTATGGAACATCGTAAATGTCAAGGTTAATGGGTTTTTTCGTGCTTGAACAATAAAAAAGGGGTGTTCGCTAACTTATTTGGCCTTACATGGGACCGGACAGCAGCACAAAAATATTATTAAATAAGAATTTAGAGCATAAAAGGGGCTGGTTATTGAAGGGAAAGGGTCAAAATAAGGTCAAGAAGGCAGTGGAATGCGAAAGAGGAGGGGGAATCATGTGACCTGGCTGGCTTAGCAGCGTACTGCGCGAGCCGCAATGGCTGAATGGGATGAACTTTGGGAGTGTGGGAAAAAGGTTTTATACTATTAAAATTACCTCACAAACAATCAATAACACAATATAAATGCATATAATATATGTTTTTATTCATTAAATTGACTTTAAATTATTCTAAATGAACAAAAAGTGCTATGTCCGATGACGGGTAAAGGTGTCCGAACACATGTAAAACTGTATTACATGTGTTCGAACACACGTTAAGACCCCCCAGTCACTATAACAAGAATAGCTTAAGTTCTATGCGTATGAATACAAAATGACACACACATTATTAAAGTAGAATGGTTGCGGATAGATATGATACTTTTTTTTGTTTTCTATGTTAAGCAGTTACTGAATGAGACCGCATGGAATTTTTACGTTGCGTTTTTTTCGCTATGTGTGTCCGAAAAGTGTAAGCTCCTCTATTAGAATTATTATAAGTAAGAGTAGTAAGACTAAGTAAGTAGACCTCTTAGCTCTACTACTAGACCTAGATTTATATAGAGTTTACTAGAGTGAGATCTAGACTAGCTAGTAGATCTAGTCTAGCTAGAAAGCTAGAATCTAAATGCTAGGCTCTACTCTTGCTCTTGGGTCTTGGTATTTCTGTTCTAGATTCTAGATTCCTCTAGATCTAGAATAGAAATCTAGTTGAGCTAGAACTAGAATCTAGATCTACTATTTTAAGCAATGTAGATTTATATTAATTCAAAGAATAACACAAGATAAAAGCGAGCTAGATTCTATATTATATCTAGACTCTAGATCTCAACTTTCTATATTACTAACTGATCATAATGAATAATGAGGAGAAGGATGAATAAGCCTACTTTCACTTTTACCATGTTGACGTTTGGTCGATAGGAACGCAAACAGTTAATGCCAGATTTTTATAGATCTAGCATTCCATTACAATAATTTATTAATATTTTAAATTCTGTTATTAGATTACTTTACTTATTCTAACATAATTAATTATACTTTATCTCATTGGCATCTTTGTGAATTTTCACTTTACAAAAAAAAAAAAAAAAAAAAAAAAAAACACTTCTATTCAATCGTCTGAAATAAGTAATAATTTTTGCTTTTGTGGACAATCTATCATCCTTGCTACACAATATCACAACTCAACATAAAGATAGATTTAGTCATGGTACACGATCACTATCATTCTAATGGCTAATTGTATGTGCTAAATCTAGAAATGAATATTATTGTGTCAAAAAAAATTAGACCACATAAAAAATTAAGAACGTAGTCTAATTGCTTTTGTATTAATTGTAGTAAGCTTGTTCCTGTTTCATGAGTGACAAAAGTGCAAAAACTTTAACAGCCGTTTTCAACTCTTCAATTAGCGTACAAAGGCCGATTGTTTGATAAACACACAAGAAATAAAACAAAGCTTTAATAAAGCTTGGATGACGCCGGCATTCTACCAATGCATTAGTCGGTCTCAAATCAATACGAATTTCAGACAGTTTTCAATGTTTTATTTCTCTACCATCTATTTGCTACTTTTTGTTTAAAGAGAAAAGCAAACAATTATCAATTTTGTTTTGGAGTGCAACAGGAATTGAGACCTCACACAGGGGAGTAAAATCTGGCAACAAAATAAACGATCATTCAACAATACTTAACTGCTCATGTGTTTTGCACTTTAAAAAATGCTTAGGCCTGATTCTAGCTAAATTGATTCAACGAGTAGAGGCCACAATTTAAAGATAGATCAAAGCGTGGCGTTATTTTACAACAAAAATGCTTCAGGTACAACTAGGGGTCATCCACAAATGACGTCACGCTTTTTTGGACGATTTTTACATCCCCCCATCCCCCCATCCCCTCCGTCACACATCGTCACAAAAAGCCAGCCCCCCCCCCTAAAATGACGTCACACCTCAACCTACAACCCCCCCCCCCCCCCTCAAAATTGCAGTTGAATTTTTCTTAAAACATCGATATTTTTCTAAAATCTTGTCTGAACTCTCTCAACATAGAGTAATTTAATCAATTCCTATTACAATTCATTAAAACAGTTTCCTAAACCGCGAAATAACGGCTAAAATTTGTTTTCCAACATTACCTTTTTATAATGCAAAAGTGTGACGTCGCAACATCTGAATCCCCCCCTCCCCCTCATCACACGCCGTCACAAAATTACGGACCCCCTCCCTCCTACGAGTGTGATGTCATTTCTTGACGTCGCACCATCTGAACCCCCCCCTTCCACATCATCACACGCCGTCACAACCCCTCCCTCCTACGAGTGTGACGTCATTTATGGACGACCCCCCCCCCCCCTAGGCCTACGTGGAGGCAAAGTCATTGTGAACCCTAATTAAAAATTAAATAATATGCTAGGGTATTGAATTTTTCTTTAACTTATTTGAAATAAAAAAAAAAGAAAAAAAAAAAAAAAAGAAAAAAAAACTATCTCGAAATGTACAATTTTTCGTCGTTTTTTACTCAGATTTTATTAATACCTTAGGCCTAATGAATGAACTTGCCGATACCGTAGAAATACGCACCAGAAAGGAAGGAATGAACACATTAAGTTTAAGCTCCATAAGTCTAGCTGTACATTACAGCAGTACAGCAGTAAGTAAGCACGGAGGGGGGGGGGGCTAGGGAAAGATTATGCAGTGCTTCAGTCATTACTGCCAAGCATCTCTCCGAGGAGGAGGGGGGCAATATATCACTAACTAAAACAGAGTTTCTTCCAGGCATCTCTTCGAGGAGGATGGGGGCAATAGATCACTAACTAAAACAGAGTTTCTTCCAGGCATCTCTTCGAGGAGGAGGGGGGCAATATATCACTAACTAAAACAGAGTTTCTTCCAGGCATCTCTTCGAGGAGGAGGGGGGCAATAGATCACTAACTAAAACAGAGTTTCTTCCAGGCATCTCTTCGAGGAGGAGGGGGGCAATAGATCACTAACTAAAACAGAGTTTCTTCCAGGCATCTCTTCGAGGAGGAGGGGGGCAATATATCACTAACTAAAACAGAGTTTCTTCCAGGCATCTCTTCGAGAAGCTCTGCCCCCCCCCCCCCCCCCCCCACCGGAGAAAAAAGTCACACCGATGAAAAAATTATGGTAAGCTAAAAAGCTAAAAAAAAAAAAAAAAAAAAAACTCATTACTTCTTTATTCGTGATTTTTATTAAAATACCTGCAAATCCTATTTTCACCCAAGTAAACTTTCTATTACTACTTTAGGATAAACAGTGTAATTTGTAACCACTACTTTATAAAGCAAAAACTGCTTTTTTTCGAACATTTTGTCCAAATTTTTTAATTATTAAAAACCAAGTTAATTAATCATTTCTTGATTGGTTGATCTTATGTTTTAAAAATCAGTTCACTTCATGACCCGGATTTTCATTTCACTTTTGTCCACGCTGTTAGTGAAACCTGTGCGATCGTACCACGTGAGCAGTGTTTCTTCCAGACTTTTTTCTCCGGGGGTGCACTTGAAATCTTCGGGGGGGCGGTAAACTTTCTTCGGGGGGGCGGACACTGTTAAAAGTATATATTTTCTATATAAATTATATAAATTTCATTTCGTTCGGGGGGGCGGTAAAAATTTTTCGGGGGGGCTTCGCCCCCCCGAAGAGATGCCTGGAAGAAACTCTGCACGTGAGCCCATACCCGTACACATCGCTGCCCCAATTGCCGTTCAGATGCGCGCGGTGACAGTTGCAGTACCACCACGCGCCGCGGTACGCGACTGCGCAGCTTCCGGTCGAGTTTGTGTCGTGGTCATGATCAAACGTGCTGAACTGGCAATTTTTCGATCTGTAGGTCAGGGAGTCCCCGGCTGTCCCGTTTGAGCTGTTGTACTTGAGTCTGTAGAAATCTGATTCGCTTGTCAGACTGAAATTTGAATAGACTTCATAATAAGCAACCCCATTATACACAATGTCGATTCGCAGCTCGTAAGCGGCTTGTGAAGTCATGCAGTATACAAACTCGTTGCCAAGGTAGAACTCTCCAACTCCGTAGTCACCGAACCCAAGCTTGTAGCTCTCCCAGTCACGGTAGAAGTCTATAGCCCCCGTGACACGCCTTTGAAAAACGGTCCATCCTCCTCCGTCCGTGTCCGTGTCACACATGACCACTAGCCCTGACATCAGCTTGACCACTTGCCGGGAATTCCCGCTGACGACATCCCTGCACGTCCTGTACTTGGGTTTAGCTTTAGGGTCAAAGGTCGAGTTGGTTCCAATCTTTACATTGCTGTCTAAACATAAGGAGTAAATAAAAGGCCTTTAAAAATAATTTTTTTCTTAAATTTGTAATTAAGAATAACATTGAGATTAAGCTGCTAGTGGTCAAGCGGTAGGGCACACAATTATTAACCAGAAAATCTGGGGTTCGCCCAGTAGCGTAGCGAGGGGGGGGGGGGGGGGGGGGCGGGGGGGGGGCGCCAAAATGGGTCGGAAAAATAAATTGAAAGGTTGAGGGGGTGCAAATCGAAAGTTGGGGGGGTCAAATCGAAATCTCGAGGGGGGGGGGTGCAAATCGAAAAGTTTGTCCCCGGGAAGGGTCGCTACCCCTCTGGGTTCGCCTCCCAGTCTTGAGTGCCGCAGGATGTACCTGAGTTGGTTCTACTGTGTTGAATACACTATCCATTACATGTTCAGATTTAAGAGAAACTTATGAGATCTACTGGCACATTAACCGCCTACTACGACATCGTAAATGTAATTGGTATTATAACTTGGTTTTATCGTACATTAAAAAAAATGCAAATCGATAAATGCTTACTAAAAATAGCTAATTTTGTTTTGAATAGTGTGGACACATCTTAAGACAACCAACAGGGCAGTAGCAGAAAGATTGTTTGCTGGTATGACTACTCTCGCCCTATACCCTAGATCAGGGGTCTCCAAACTTTTCAGCCCGAGGGCCGCATTAACTATCAAATATCAGTCCGGGGGCCAGTTTTTTTCCAGGCATCTCTTTGGGGTGGCGGAGCCCCTCCCCCACTCCCCACCGAAAAACATATACCCCCTCCTCCCCCCTCCCCACCAAAAAACATATGCCCCCCACCCTCTCTCTCTCTCCCCCCCCCCCCCCCCAACAAAATATAAATTATATAGAAATATAAATTTCAGCGACTCATCAATTGCAATTGAAAAATGGCGAAACTTGCATGCATTTTTCACTATTTGAGTCACAATGTTTTCACACATGTCTGCAACACGGCTGGCAATGGTATATTTGCACCCAAACTTTCAAATTGTTTTGAATTTTCTGGGCAAAGTTCCTCAGCCACCTCCAACAAACAAGTTTTTTGTGGACAAAAAAATCTCCGCGGGCCGGATGAGAGGACTTCGCGGGCCGCATAAGGCCCGCGGGCCGTAGTTTGGAGACCCCTGCCCTAGATCTAGCCTTGGCCCACACGTGCTATTAACCTAACATAAAACCTTGAAAATCGGTTTCATTTAGGGATTTTTCTGGGAGGGGGGGGGGGAGAGGGAGCATTCCCAAAACATTAAATTTATATGAGAACAAAAAATACTTTAACTATTGCCCATTTCCCTCCTCCGGAATGTTTGAGTGCACTTCTCCACCCTGGACAAAAATGTCATATTCCTAAACATAAATACGTTACGTTGTTACCAGCACAAAAGGCCAGGTCACATGACTTGATATCACCAGACGGCAGTAACGTCACATTCTCCGTCGTGTTGCAGAAGTTTCCAGTGGAGTAGAGCAGTACGTTTGGTGGCGGTGCTGTGTTGTTTAATGGCACCATCCATGACCCTACGAACCATAGAAATATGGTGCAGTAGATTTGTTGTTACATGACCCTACGGACCATTGAAATATGGTGCAGTAGATTTGTTGTTACATGACCCTACGGA